TAATCGAACACATTACAAATTTACTGCTGCAAGAACAAAGACGCCGGCGAGACCTCGGTCAGACGCTAAGTAAGGTAAATTTTAGCATTTTGTAAAAAAAACTCAGTAAAAAGCTCTTCCTGGTATCTCAAATGTACACATGTGACATCAGTAAATAATAAAAGTTTATATTTTGAGGGTAGAAATTCCCTAATTTAAAAAAAAAAAAAATTGGTTATACATAATGGTTCTATGTATTAAGGCGCAGGCCAGACGGATAGGACAAAGTGCGTGGCGTTGCCTTTACAATAATGATGCACCATTTCCATATGCTGTGTCTTGTCGTTTATTGGTGAGGCTGTTGTTTACATCATCGACAGCCTTTACTAGTCCACTGCTGGACATAGGCCTCTCCTTAGAAAGGAGGTTTTGGCCTACTACACCACGCTGGCCAGACGGGTTGGTATAGGGTTTGTGTCAAGTTTTCCTTCTCTCTGCAGTGCTGTTGTCCTGCGTAGTTTGCTCCCTTAGTCGCCTTTTACGATACCCACGGGATGAATAGGGGTGGTGACACTCTGTATTCTTAATCCGTCACCACACACACATTGTTTACAAGGTACTCAATATCTTCTTTTCACTATATTATCTAGTTAAATCTAAGCTAATATGCCTATGTCTTCTGCTAAAGAATACATCAATTCAAATTTAAATCAAATGCTTGAGTGAACACCACCATGACACACCCGAAGTATTTACGAAGTACCCGCGCTGCATCAATTTGTCCTGCGCGGCTTAGAGTCCTCACGAGTCCTTATAATTATAACGATAAATATCATCTCTTTTCGATTTCCGTGAAAAAGCAGTTATCAACATTAAGTTTCGGGACTATGTTTATTTTTAAGACTTAGATATTATGTTTATTTTAGAGACTAATGCCGTGGAACACCTGGCTATCACCTAGCCGAGGCGAGCACAGAGATATCGAGAACTAAAACTTACATATTTCACGAAAAAAGAACAATATACTTCCTATAACCTAAATGCTTTTAAAAGTAACTATAAAGTCCCATATTTACGCATCAAGTCCTTTCTCTAAACAGTTTCTAATTCTGAACATTAATCAATGTCAAAACGAAACAAAAAAAAATGGCAAAAGGCCTTACAATCTCAGCTGCGATTCGCACTGCACTTGTTTTGCGCTTTGTAATAGAGAAACCGTCTTTGTCAACGCATAATAAATAGTTCATAAAAGCTGACAAGACACAAAAACTCTTTGACGCAGTGTTTCTCGTTTGCAGCGAGCAGCAAAAAACGGTGTTTCGAACGCTTTTGTACCGGAACTTGTGTCCGAGATAAAAAAAAACTTATCAAGTCCGGAATTGTTGGCTGATTATAGCAATACGACATGGTTTACGTTGATGGGAAAGTGCAAAAACGATATGCTGCATTCATGCGAGTATATGTTGCTGCTAATCTCAGCAGTGTTTATTGATTTATGATTTTAACCGAAAAATTTACGGATTTTAATTATGTTGTAAAAAAAGTATCGGAATATTGTAACAAATACATTTGTACACACTTATTGAGCATGGAATTCCTTGAACTGGAATAAGAAATATGGTTCTGCGCATTTTCCCACGAATCTGAAATATTATACCGAAGGCTGTATATGCCGCCTACCTTGAATCATAATATTTGATATATGTCCGCGTAAATGTCGGTAATCGCGGTAAAAAGTGGCTTATGTCGTTCCTAAAGAATCAAAGTATCTCCATACCAAATTTTATCCAAATCAGTTTAGCGGTTCATGATTCCCCATACAAACTTCCACTCCTCTTTAAAGTATGATTTCTGGGAAAAAACTACCCTATGTCCTTTCCCGGGACTCAGACTATCTCAATACCAAAATTTCATCTAAAACGGTTTAGCGGTTTAAGCGTGAAGAGGTAACAGACAGACACAGACCTGCTAAACCAGAGATTGTCGATTTGATTCACACCCGGGACAGATAATTGTGTGATGAACACGATAACGTTTCCGAGTATAATTTATCTATAATATGTATATTGTTTTTATAGTATTATAGTTGTTATAGTAGGACAAAACCTCCTTTCTAAGGCTTAATGGCTTTACAGGTTGTTGATGATGATGATGTAGGTATTGTTTAGAAATATATAAGTATGTTTATCAGCAGTCTGGTTATTACATGGCAGGCTCTGCCTTGTTTGGTATTAGACTACGTGAGATGAGTTATTATTCAATAATGTAGCACTTTACAGTATTAGTTAATTATTAGTTTCCCTAATATATTTTCTTTAATATTCTAATTTTAGTTTATTTGAGCATAACAATAAGAGCATAATACACAAGAAGATAGTGCTGTTATAAAATTGGCTAATTGTTATATGGTGATGATTGTGATTTGTGAGTATGGAGATTTGTGAGGGTGTCGTGAGTTTTTAGTACGATTTCTTTTAACAAAGCGCAACTATTTCTAAACCGTCTGATATACTCGTAGATCGAGTCAGGCAGACATTTTTTATTACTTTTACATTTAACAAAGCAACTTCTAGTTGTAAGATAGTATTCGGACTAATCTATACTAATATTTTAAAGCTTAAAAGTTTTTTTTTTTTTTTTTTTTTAAAAAGACACCTCCCGCATTAGGAATGTATCCTGTGTCGCGGGGGACTTTACAAACATACATGAAACGGACACAAAGAACACCCAGACTCAGAACAACAATTTGTGGATCACACAAAGTGTCTACCCATGTGGGGTTTGAACCCACAACACTCGGCGCAGTAGGAAGCGGCGTGGCGACCGCTTAAACCACTGCGCCATCCGTGCAGTCGAAGTCGAGTTAATTTGTTTGTTTCATTGAATGCGCTAATCTCAGGAACTACCGGTTCGAATTGAATAATTATTTCACTGTTTATAGCCCATTTATCGAGGAAGACTATAGGCTATATAAAATCACGCTACCGCTATTTAATGATACCATTGTCTATTGTGAATTGCAAAAATTGTGAATTGTCATCTATCTGTAAATTGCAAAAGAGTGGTCATGAGTTTGTTTGTCCTTTCTTCTCACAAGGCTCAACCCCTTGGAAACGGGTGGTTGTGGATCGGATCATAGATTTTGTAGAAGCAAAATTTTTATAAAAAAAAATAAGAGATTGTTTCTATTGTGTGTGTGTTGATCTACGACTTTATAGTCTACATAAAAGACGATTTGAAACAATTAAAAAAAATATATTGAAATAAAGATATTTTGAATTTGAATTTAGGAGATGAGCATCAATGAAAAATATTGTAAAAATGTGGAAAATTTACTCTTTTTGTAAAACGAACTCCTTTTGAAAGACAGACGAGGTTGCGCGGTAAATTACACTACAGTGTTAGGTGATGTGGCAACCCTAGTAAAAACGCTACCAAGAAGGTTTAACATTCGCTAAATGTGCTCCATTTAGACTTCACTACTGTCTAACAACAGAAAAGTGATCATACATTACCTATAACTAATATAAAATTATACGCTCAAACTAAAAACTTAAATGATTGAATATTTTAATATCTGAAAAAAGCTTCAATAAAGGAGGAAAAAACAAATCAAGTCTGTTTAAACGACTCCTCAGACAAGGTATACAAATATGATAGGCTTATCAAATCACTACAAATACTACTGCCTAAATACATACAGACCTACGAACATTTTTTTTAACACTTTCACACAACTCCATCTAGTCCCAAACTTAGCAGAGCTTGTACTATGGCTACTAGACAACTGATATAAATACATGTATACTTTTTTGTTGTAAATACATACATATTATACATAGAAACACCCAGACCAAATCAAACATTAAATGTTCTTGCACACAAATGTTTAACTTGAGCGTTAATCAAACCCGCGACCTTTGGAATAGCAGTCCGTTACATAAACCACTACGCCATCCGGTCGTCATATATATATATATATAAAGATATTTAGTGCTTGTCTGCGTTGCCTTACCGGGACCCTGTAATTAAATTAAACCCCCTGATGCGAGGAAGTTACCTATACATTTTTTTTACTAGAACTATAGGAAGTGTCTAGCTAACTTTGTGCGAGAGAGAGGTCCGAAGGAAACTGGCTAAGATTAGAGAGAAACAGAAAGCCAGTGGAAAGTTCTACGTAAATTGAAACGTGCAGGGTATATTGGTCAGGCCAGACTTCGGACAACTTTTTAGGGTTAAAAAAGCAAATGGTTTCTGGTGTCCGAAGAATTTAATAGTAATGCATTAGTATTGTGATAGAATAAATTAATCACTTAATCATATTTAATACTTATTTACAGTTGAATGCCCAGTGTCAGATTATGATAATTTTATATATATTTATATATATAGTTTTATGCTACACATTCAAGTCAATCATAATAGAACTATCCCTGTATGACTAATCCGTGTTAATTAAGTAATTTGACCAAGATCGCAAAGATTTTGTCCCATTTGAGCCGTCATTTTAGCCAGTTGGCTCGACCGGACTGATACCAGGGCCTCACAGAAAACCAATCTTCCAGTGAGTGAGGTAACCTGATGGTGTAATTAAAATTTGGACATGATAACTAAAACTTTGAAGCATCTAGGTCGTATCTTTATTGTTATGTCAATGTTTTTCTGTACTCAGATATCTGATAAAGAAAGACTTACTACTAAAGAAGGAAATATTAACGAATAAAAAAGGACATAGTAACTTGGATTTATTTGAAAAAAGAATGCAAACCTGATTGTGAAGGTTTGTTTTAGCGTGGCTTTGCTTCCATTTCGGCAATTGCTAATATACGCAAAGATTTTTTTACTAATTATTATTTTTATATTAATTCTTGGTGTACAACTGCGTATATACAAAAAGAAACCAATTACTGTTAATTTATTTTATGTTCTCTGTAGTAAGAATTGTACGGAACACTTGTACAAAAGTAGCAACTTTTTCTGTTTGTCAACTTCCTACAGTACTAAGAAAAGTCTAGGTAGAGATGTCTGAGGAGTCTAAGTGGGGGAAATTAAGTGGTATCGATCAAGACACCGTGTGCGTCTCATTAAACAGTGGAAGTAGAAATGAGAGGAAATGTTACAGGATCGCTCTGTTCTCTTTCAAGGTAAGCAGAGACGATAGAATGCCGTTTGCCACGATGGTGTATGTCATGATCGTGGTTCGTGGTGGTGGTGATCAAAATACACATACACTCAAGTTATTACACGAACTAATTGCTTGGCAGATTGTAAAAAGATAATTTAGCTTAATCTAATATATATAAATATCACGTCTCACGATGTTTATGGTCGAAGCGACGCTTTTTTTTTAACTACGAGAATAGGTCGTATAGTATTTTTTTCACTCTCCTACCCTCACCCCTCAAGACACAGAAGAAGTTACGGACAACTAGTAATAATTTAGAATACAGGATATTATACATGACATACAATAGTATTCCAAGTTAATGGCCATGTACAAATTGCGGCCTTATCGCTAAAAAGCAATCTCTTACAGGCAACCTTTGGATTGATAAATAGACTGTAAATAGGTAATTTCATGGGCAGATTTGGTGAGAAAAAAGTTTAAATAATTTAGATTTTGAACATTGCAGGTGGTACTTGTCAATTTTGCCATGCTTCGGCACGAATGGGCCGGCTCGACCGGAGTGATAATACGCCTCACAGAAAACCGGTGTTAAGCACTGCCTTTCACTAAGTGAGTGAGGTTACCGGAGCCCAAATCCCCCCTCCCGCTGACTCGAGCGGGAGGGACTCCAAGGGCAGCAACGCACTTGTGACTTTTGAGTTGCAGGTGATCATGGGCGGCGGTAGTCGCTTTGCCCCCTTATACCGTAAAAAAAAAAAAAAAAATGAGAATCAGGACGATCATTAGCGTTCGCAGCATTAATCTTGTCAAGTTATGCGTTAACTTTTTTTGACTATCGGTCTATAATAACCAGTAGGCGTTCACTATAGTTCATTTATCAAGCAAGGGATATTGGAGAAAACTTACTAAGAGAGATAATCTTCTTTATTTACTAAAAGCTGGTGCCCGCGACTTCGGATTTTGAAAAGTACTGCTTTAAGGGTTCGAATTATATACAATAGCCTAGGTTACTCCTTATAATATATAGTTACCTGGTAGTAAAATATTATCAAAATCAGTCCAGCCGTTTTGACAGACAGACAAAAACATTTAAACTGGTTTTAGGCATAGGTATCGTGCAAATAACCAAAAACATATTATTTTTTTACATTACAATTATTTTTTTGTATAGACATAGATAGTTTGACTGCCTCGGTGGCGCAGTGGTAGCGTACGCAACTGCTGTGTTGAGGTCTCGGGTTCGATGCCCGGGTCGGACCTAATGTTTGTGTGGTTTGCAAATATTTGTTTCGGAGTTTGGGTATTTTCTATGAAAATATGTATGTATTTACAAAAAAAAAGAATATAAATATTCTATCATTCAATCTAGCTTTCATAATACAAGCTCTGCTTAGTTTGAAACTAGATGGCGTTGTGTGTTAGACGTCCTAAATATTAATATATTATTAGTTCATTTATCAAGCAAGGACAACTGGAAAAATCTTACTATTGGAGATAATCTTCTTTAGAGTTTTTTATATGGTACAGGGAGCAAATGAGCAGCAACACCAGATTACCTCCGCCCACGGACATCTGCAACCGCCGTCCTTTGCTCGTTGCCCGTTTTGGTAACCTCAATCACACGGTGAAAGCTAAGAAACAGAGGTTTCTGTGACGTCACTCTATTCTATCACTCCGGTGGAGACGACCGTGTATCAAAACACAACCCTCTCACGATAACTGCACAAAGAACACATTACCAAAGAGTTTCGTTACCAAAGGCCTTATAACCATTGGATTTGAAGTAACTTAAAAATATTGGGGCTAAATAGGTATATTTTTTCGTTTTAACGGGAAAATCGATATCCGTCGTGAACTTTCCGTGATGTTTAATCTTTATTTCAGGATCGCACGCCATGACTTTCCTCTTGCGGATTAAAGAACTGCGGTTCAACGTTCTAGAACAGTCACCAGACACCATTGCGGGACAATAATTCGGGTCTCAATTATTTAAATTTAGAATAAGTGTTGTCCAATGTCTGACTGTAACCTCTTCACGCTTAAACCGCTGAAACGATTTAGATTAAATTTGGCATGGAGATAGTTTGAGTCCCGGTAAAGGACATAGAATAGTTTTATCAGAGAAATCATCCTTTAAGGTGGGTGTAAAGGAGGGTGGAACTTTGTATGGGGAATCAATAACCACTGAACTGATTTAGATGAAATTTGTGTATGGAGATAGTTTGATTCTTGAGGAAAGACATAGGGTACTTTTTACCGCGATAGACAAAATACAGACGACGTGCGGTTTTTGGTCGGTTTGAGTCCGACATACCTAATCCCTCACTCACTGGTAGGTGGTATCCGAGGGGAGAATGTTGGTATCCGCACAGGGAAAAAAGGGGACATAAAGCTCGTAGACACCTAAAAGTCGAGACTCATGTGCGTTGCAGCCATGTGAGTGCGCTCCCTCCCCCCCTTTTTTTTTCCGTGCGGAAATCTCCTCGGATATCACCTATCGGTGGCATGTCGGACTCGAACCGACTAAAACCGCACGCCGTCTCGGGTACTAATAGCCGGGGAACCAGGTATACCCTAGAAAGGAAGCCCCTGGTGCCCCGACATACCTCGGGCCATCTACAACAACAGGTAGACGACCCCCCCCCCCCATGTGGGAACTCCATGTTCCCTCTGCTCCCTGGAAGCTCGCAACGCGCTCGCCGCCACCCCGGCCGTTGGGATTGGGCTTCTGGTAAATTCACTCAATTGGTGAAAAAAACATTATCAACAACAAGCTTTATTAGTCCACTGATGGACATAGGTCTTTCATTAGAAAGGAGGTTTTAGCGTACTTGACACTGGTCTTCTGTAAAACTGTGGTTAACTCCGGTCGAGACGGCCCATTTGTGCCAGCATAGATCTCTCACGCAGTCTAATAATCTATTGGGTCACCACGCCGTAGATCTTTAACAGTAAATTTTAAGTTTTAGTTACGTATGCCTCAGGCGAAGAGTCTAAACCCCGCCTTGAGAGAAAAAGAGAGAGGAGATTTATCTTTTTCAATCTTCATTAAATCTCTAACACCGATAGTGATAGTATATCGTAAAAACTATTTAATGAAAGTAGCCGTTATATCGATAAACAATAATTACAATTTCTCTAGTTTTGTGATGCCAATATTATCTTTCAAAATTGACAATAACGCAATAAGTATTAAAGTGTATTGGTACGGAACATTACAATGTAACGGGCCCGGAAAAAACACGTTTGGACCGCTACTATAAAGTGAGCAATCGTTTTTTGAAGCCACGTGGACCAGCAGTTTCTTCATATAATGGGTAGTGTCTTAATTACTTAAACGTAGCTCAGATTAAGTAGTGAACTGTGATTCTTTAAATATCACTTTCACATGATATAGAAATACGACTGCGCGGATAACGTAGTCGCCACACCGTTTACTACTGCGCTGTGGGTCCGATCCCCACATAGGACGACACTTTGTGTGATCCACAAATTATTGTTCTGAATCTGGGTGTTCTTTGTTTCACATTATATATTCCTAATGCGAGAGTTGTTTTTTTTAAATGAAAAGAAATACAATTACAATGAATTTACACGTATAATAGGGATTTTAAATATGTAATTGACGTTATAGGACTGGCCACTTTGAGGCAAAAGTAAACATTTCAGGGTGACACTATTTCACATCTATACTAATATTATAAAGCTGAAGAGTTTGTTTGTTTGTTTGTTTGTTTGAACGCGCTAATCTCAGGAACTACTGGTCCGATTTGAAAAATTCTTTCAGTGTTAGATAGCCCATTTATCGAGGAAGGCTATAGGCTATATATCATCACGCTAAGACCAATAGGAGCGAAGCACCAATGAAGAATGTTTCAAAAACGGAGAAAATTTATTACTATTGAGAGACGCAGACGAAGTTGCGCGGATCAGCTAGTGAAAACTAAAACATTCTCAATTTAAAAAACTTTACTAGATTTTCAATTGTTTTTTTTTTTACATTCAGTTAATTTTTGACGTGAGACGCATTTGCATTTGAAGATGTGTAATGAATTTGTGATTTAACTGTTTTCAGAGAGGAAACTCGGATTTGAAGAATGAACTACCAGGAAGACTAGCCACTATCGTAAATAACGGTGAATTGACAGAGATTCTGGAACCTGATCAGTATCAAACTTTCCAAGAAATTACCGTGATTTGATGTTAGTCAATCTATTGATAATACTGACTCCTTTGCAATAAGTCCGTAAACTTCTAGAATGAAATATAGCAGTCTCGACCAAGTTAGACGCCGAAATTGGTTCTTTCGTTTAGGAGCTATGATACCAACAAACATACAGCATATCATCAGCCTGCTGAACATCGGCCTCTCCCATTGCATGCCACTTAGATCGATTTTGGGCTTCTCGCATCCAGCTCCTCCAGTTAAAAGTTAGTTTTTTAATATTTTTCCTCCAGTCAAGTTAAAGTAAACTCTGGTTTACGTTTAACCCTAAATCCAAGACATTAAAACCTTGCTTCAGTAAACTTAGACTAACTAATAGTGTTTTTTTTTTTAAGTAGCTAAGCGATTCTTTTCATGTTATTAGTTATGGCGACCACCATGGCAGTTCGCGTGACTATGGGATCGATGATTTAACGTACCGAAACACGATATGAATAGCGGTCAGTCATCCAAGAACTGACTGGCGCCGTACACCGTTAAGAACCTAGTACGTAAAGAGAGCCCTGTGTGAGTTTATACTTTACATGAAGTCACTCTCGACGGCGCACATCGAGAGCGGCGTTGCGATTGGTGAAGATAGCGGTCACCATGACGTTCGAGTAGATATGAAATAAACTCACACTAGGCCGTTCTAGTATAGTATATAAAAGTGGATTATTTAGCAACGATTAGGAGACACCGTATACTATTAAACAATTATGAGTATTTCTTTGAAGTACAAAGAAAACAAAAACGAAGAATCCTACATTGTCTCGTGGTACATCTGTGATGGAAGGAGGCAAAAGAATATTCTAGCAAGTGTCGTCAGACGAAAACCGCGAACGTCAATTAGAGCCGGAGATAGAAAAGAAAGCTATAAAACATAACAAAGAGACATCATCATCAACAGCCTATACTAGTCCACTGCTGGACATAGGCCTCTCCTTAGAAAGGAGGTTTTTTTTTTGAAGAGACATATATATAAAACTATACAATGATTGGCACTTAAAGGATTCTTTAATCAGTCATTGAAACTAACTATAAAAACAAAAAAAAAATAAGTTAGTATATTATTTACATTAACATTATAAAAAAGTTTAGTTTTACTTAATATTTAAAAATGTTAAGTTTGTTTCTGTACGCTTCAAAAACTTAAAAAGTTCTGCATCGAATGAATATTTTTTAATACATGTATCAATCCTTAATATTTTTGTTTAAAATTAAGAGGTCCAATGACTAATGGCGTGCCAACAATAGCACAGCTTACCTTATACACAAGGAAATCACTCTTGAGCATAGGAGAACAGCCCCACGGACTCGTAATTTCGGTTTTAAATATTACATTATATAATTTACCAGCTGGTGACCGCGACTTTATTCGCGTGTAATTTAAAAAGCGCTGGCTTAGTGGGTTCGGTACCCGGATCGGGTAAAAATAAACAGACAAACAGACAATACCTTTTGGGCATCGGTAATCTTACTCATTCGGTGGTTTTCTGTAAAGCCGTGGTATCCATTTGTGCGAAATCATGGATTAATGACCGAAGAAGGACGGCTAAGGATAAATACATTGCAATGGCTTGAAGTGCCAGTGGTCTGGCCATATTAGCCGCAGAACCGACAATCGTTGGGGTAAATGAGTTCCTGAGTGAAGACCGCGTCTCGGCAAATGCAGTGTAGGACGCCCACAGGCCAGATGGAGTGTCGATTTGCGTAAGATGGCTGGCAGGAGAGAAGCCGAAATTCGATCAGAGTGGCTTGCAATAGGAGAGTCCTATGTCCAGCAGTGGACTGCGATAGGCTGATGATGATGATGATGAATGGCCAGCTTTATATTTATTTATAAAATTACTTAAGTGTCCCTACAGTACGGCTATCCGGTTATACTCTTGTCATGTCATGTCATGTCTCATGACATTAACTTTTTTGGACGCACCTCAACAATCAGCACAGTTTTTACTGTTGCAACGTTTTACTGCGCTTTTTTAATATTTCAAGAGGCACGTATCATTAGCTTAACTTCAACAGAACCTGCCAAGCATGTCTCTGGATCACCGAAAGGTTGTCAGGTAGAAAATACGCTACGGCATCAAGTCCGCTTTATGCAATCTACTTGTGGGTAGTGTCATCATCATCATCATCAACAGCCTATATAGTCCACTGCTGGACATAGGCCTCTCCTTAGAAAGGAGGTTTTGGCCTACTATACCACGCTGGGAAGACGGGTTGGTATAGGGTTTGTTTCAAGTTTTCCTTCTTTTTGCAGTGCTGTTGTTCTGTGCAGTTTGTTCCCTTAGTCGGCTCTTACGACACCCACGGGATGAATAGGGATGATGACATTCCGTATTCTTAATCCGTCACCACACGGACTAACGGTATGTAGTGTAACAAAACTAACTGGCCTTACTTGACCTTGACTGGCCTGTTGGTCTAGTGGTTAGTGACCCTGCCTGCTACGCCAGAGGTCGTGGGTTCGATTCCCACCCAGAACAAATCATTGTGTGATGAGCATGGTCATTTGTTCTGTGTCTGGGTGTAATTTATCTATAATATGTATATATTTAGAAATATATAAGTATGTTTATCAGCAGTCTGGTTACCATAGTACAGGCTCTGCCTAGTTTGGGATCAGACTGCGATGTGTGAGATGTGTGTGAAAATATATTATTAAATAAATATGTGGGTATACCAATACTTTTAATTATTCAGATATAGTTATAAATCTATCCACATTGGGTCGAATTCTTCAAACCGTTATCTTAATTCAAACAGATTTGATTTAAAGAGTCTGAATTATTATTGTGTCGCCTTTAATTTACACGTCACTGTCACAATGTCATCTTACAACTTCCTGTTGTGTGTTCTGTGAACCTCTCGTTCAGTCGCTAGATCTCATCAACAGCCTATACTAGTCCACTGCTGGACATAGGCCTCTCCTTAGAAAAGAGGTTTCGGCCTACTATACCACGCTGGCCAGACGGGTTGGTATAGGGTTTGTTTCAAGTTTTCCTTCTCTTTGCAGTGCTGTTGTCCTGCTTAGTTTGCTCCCTTAGTCGGCTCTTACGACCCCCACGGGATGAATTGGGGTGGTGACAATTTGTATTCTTAATCCGTCACCACACGGACTAGATCTCACTGTAACAGTATCAGGTTGTGACTGACACAGTATAGTGATATTTGTGATGATATATAGCATCCGTTGAGCGGCTACAGTGCAATCGACTGGAATGACTGAATTCGATTCCCGCACAGAACGAATATTTTTATGCATAGCTATGTATCGTGCAAACTAATATTTTAATGCCGGAATTTGTAGTTGTAATAGCGCTGGTAACCTTTATGCTTAGCATTTGCATCTGTCAATATCCGCCCAAAATATATTATGTGTGTATTTCCAGGACACCAAAAATATCTAAGTATGTTTTATCTCAGTTTGTTTGAGAATCTGTAGCACAAGCTCTGCTTAGTTTTAGATAGAGATCTGTGATATCTCCTAGATTATATTTGGTATTCGCCTACTGGAGAATAAACATCTGAAAGTTACGGATTCGATTCTGAAAATATTCATCCTGCTGCTGTTGCTATTAAAATGTAGAATACCACCAATTAGAACTTTTTTTTTATAAGATGTGTTCTTTATTATATTTCGGTATCTTGTTTCCGTGTTTTTTATTTCGTTTATAGATGTTTTTTTTTAAAGTAACTGCTTAAGGCATTTTTAAAGTTATCAATAGTGAAATCTTAATCAGAGCTTAGCTGTAAATTTAACCATCTTGGAAACATTATCTCAATTTGAAAATACCTGTTTCATCATGTTAATGAATATGTATGTAATTCTGTGAAATCCTTCATAATGAACAAAATACAATGAAGCCTTGATTTGAGTAAATCGATAAATACATTTCGATACTGACTGCCAAGTCAGAGTTCGTGAGTTCGATTCCCACCCAGGACAAATATTGTGTGATGTTTGACTTGAGCGGAAATCGAACCCGCGACCTTTGGAATAGCACTCCGTTACACAAGCCACTGCGCCATCCGGTCGTCCGTGGGTGTGTGTGTGTGGGACTAAAGTTATATTCTTTAAAATGGTGGCCTTGGACACGCCTCTATCTACCCCCATTGGGGATAAGAGATGTGAGATGAAGTATACATGTATCCAGATACTAGTTAAATATATTATTTAACCCGTAAATACTTCAAGTTACGTACATCAGCCTAAAAGATACTGGTAGATATTAGTCAGAAGACTAAATTAATAAAGACAGGTTATAGACTACATTAAAGGAGCAATCAATTTTATTTCTAGTGTATAATAATGTCCATTCAGGAATTTTAATAATGAATAACAACTGCGTTATGAAAAGAAGCTTTCCCACCTTCTATTTTACCAGAAGTAACACTTTTAGTAAGGCAGCAGATCTTCTGCCTCTTCAATCACCAATTTCCGCATGCATTATAAGAATGAAAAAGCCAGAAACTGTGGCAATAGCCGCAATTATGTCAACAATTTCCTGACTTTTCTCTTGACAGAGAAGGCGTCTTAAAACTTGAATATTTCAAAACAATTACTTACCAGCACATTACAAATGTGCCTACAAACATTTATTTCTGTTTGTACATGTGCTTTTATAATAATTTCTTTACGTATTTCAATTATAGCGTGCTAGTACTGACAGTCTCTAAGCTAAGGCTCGGACAAGTTAACAGATATACAGACGTACATGGCGGAACTACAAGGATTCTTCGTTAGGACTACGGAACGCGTACCAAATTTTAATAATCAACTCAAAGTTTAACAATTAATCATAATAATATGCAAATTACAGAAATAATTAGCCGTATAACAATGACTTAAGTTTTTTTTAATTTCATATGGATCGAATGGACATTAAAAAACCTATTAATTATGTCAAAGATTCGCGATGTCTATTGTTGAGAGTCAGGTAGCTTTTTGCAAATAAATCACGTTCAAATTTAGAAAGGCATTCCGTTAC